CGTCCTTCAAACCAATGGGAAAATTTAAACCTTCGTAATTTAACACTGAACTGAAATGTGGGTACGAATCGATTAAATTTACATGAGACGTCGCTGGATGCAGTGCTGCATTTACCGACCAGAGGAAGCAAAAGGGATCACTGTTCTTAATGTTCACAACTGCTTTCTTGCGTTGAATGTCTTCAGGTAATTCGATGAAAGTCGACAAGCCACCGTGGATGGGAATGTATCTGTTGATGTTCACCGTCAAATTTATAATTTCCAACAGTGACCAACCCCATTCTCTTTCCTGGAAGTCTTCGATCTTGGTCAGCAATTTGTTCGTCACGTTCACGTTAAACCACTCGTCGATATTTGTCGAAGGTAGAATAATTTCGTTTCTAGTATTGAAGAATTTAATGTCTTCAATGATGTCGCCGCCTTTCGTAGTCTCGAATTTGCACATAAGACGACGTTCACTTTCAAGTTTCCATCCTTTCGGAGCACGTTATTCACCCTAGTAGTGAACAATTTTCTTGAATCCTCTAGGAAATACTTCAAGTCCTTGCATCGCAGATTTGTTATCACTCCGGTCCTTATTCTTCCCTTGAAGGCCGATTCCAAGTCACCCCAGTGTACTCTATCACTTCGTCTCTCGCTTATCACCCCTTCGCCTCTTTTTCGAAATCGTTTAAACTTTTCATAGAGAGATTTTAACATTCCGATGGTCGTTAAGATCTTTGTCTTCTCCCCGATCGTTAGTGTGACGTTTTTTTTTAAAAACTTTATAGAGCAGCCTAATATTCTGAACACCAAATTTTACCCACTTTTCAATTTCCGCGTTCGAACTTCGTTTCTTCAAAAGTTTATACGCCTTCTCCATGATCTCAATCAATTTCTTACACTTTGCAGAATCCATTTTAATCGCGTGTGAAGGTTTTACAAACAATGACGGTGGTGCATCCTCAAGGGCTTTATATATGCAAAGATTTCAAGGTCTTCTAGGAATAGTCTAAAGGGCTATATATATATATATGTATGTATTTGAAGATTTCAAAGTCTTCTAAGAATTAAACGACAAGAGCATACCACTTGGATGATGACACTCTTAGCGCGTTTCCAGACTATTCTATTAGCAATAAATGACGGTGCAACGATACCATAGACTTAATATGCGAACGGTAAACGTTGAGGTGACGTTCGGAAACCTAAAAATGGGACAATCGCACGGAAGAGAAAGAAATACGAGGAAGAGAGAGCAAGTTCAACGGGACATGAGGGAGAGAGAGCAATTTCGACGAGATCGGTACCAAGAGTGGATACGGCGCTCGGATGTTCCTGAAAGACGTATAATTTTCGACAACAATAATTCACGTGCAACGTTGAATCAAAATCCACCGGATCCTATCAACGGTTCCAGAGACTCTTCTGGCAATGCAACCTCGAATCAAGGTTCCCGAAGAGGCGCTGGATAAAAATGTGATTCGTTTCAGTATATATTGGTTGAAAGAATAAAATTCGAAGTTTCTGTATTTTATTTCAGGTTGGATAATTATTCCACCCAACCTTTTCTTTAGATAGTCATGAACCTTCCCACATCAGAAAAATTTGATCTCCTTACCACTCGATACCTGTACAGCGAATTCTCAGAATCACGTCGCGAATCTTTCAGTGTCGAGTGGTTGAAGAGTGCCGATGGATTCCAACGTCGAGGGAGGTTATCTCCCTCGTTATGGCTGTCCTCAAAAATCGACAGACAAAGTTCTTAGAATTGCGACTGCTGTCTGATATTCGTATCACAAATTTTTTTTGGCCGACGAGAGCCGCCAAATTCGCGGAATTACGTCGCGAATCTTCCGGTGTCGAATGACTGACGAGAGCCGGCGGATTCCTGCGTCGAGGGAGATAACCGCTGTGAAACTCCGCGCGCGTTGTCAGATTTCGAAGCCCGTAAGGAAACAATGGCAACGTACCGAACGGACAAACTTGGTAACGAATTCTACAAAAAATCGAAACACAAGAGGGTCACTGTCTTCTCGAAACAAGGAAGTATATCTGTCACATTGAATAAGAATTACAATAACTGTATAATACGCGAGATAAATTTAAAATGTCCAACATCGGTCTATGAAATGAATAAATAAAATTTTTTTTAAATTGGTACGCCTCGTTCGAAGACATTTCTTCTGAACGCCCCAAAGTCGCAAAACGATCGGCGCGAACGACAATACGTAATCCCATTCGCGACAGCAGAGAATCCGAGGCCCGGAAGGAGACACTGGCGAGGGACCGGGCCGAAAATTTTCAAAATGAATTCCACGAGAAATTGATACACGTGAAGGCCACTGTCTCGTCAAAAAATTGCAGAATCTCTGTCGCGATAAAAAAAAAAAATCAGTAGGAATGCAATAATGGACGTTGAATTCAGAATGTGCGACTTCGGTTAAGGAAACACATAACAGCATTTTTTCAATCGTTCCGCCACATTCGAGAACAACCTTTTTAAATGTAACGAAATTGTGTAGCACCGTATGAACCTGAAACGGACAACGAAATATAGAAATGAGTTTTTTAAATCAGGGTCCCGCGATCGAAAACAATTTTTACAAACGATACAAGGTCACAGTACAATTCAGCAGGACGACGCGAACGAGAAATATATTCCAGGCCCGAAGAAAGATTGCGAGGCCCGAAAGGAGACACTGGCGAGGGACCGGGTCGAAAATTTTCTAAATGAATTCCACGAGAAATTGACACACGAGAAGGCCACTGCCTCGTCAAAAAATTCTAGAATCTCTGTCCCGATAAAAAAAAAATCAGTAGGAATGCAATAATGGACGATGAATTCAGAATGTGCGACTTCGGTTAAGGAAACACATAATAGCATTTTTTCAATCGTTCCGCCACATTCGAGAACAATCTTTTTAAATGTAACGAAATTGTGTAGCACCGTGTGAATCTGAAACGTACAACGTCGGACCACGAAATATACAAATGAATTTTTAAAATCACGGTCCCGCGATCGAAAACAATTTTTACAAACGATACAAGGTCACAGTACAATTCAGCGGGACGAAGCGAACGACAAATATATTCCAGGCCCGAAGAAAAATTGCGAGGCCCGAAAGGAGACACTGGCGAGCGACCAGGTCGAAAAATTTCTAAATGAATTCCACGAGAAATTGACACACGAGAAGTCCATTGCCTCGTCAAAAAATTCTCGAATCTCTGTCTCGATAAAAAAAAAAATCAGTAGGAATGCAATAATGGACGATGGATCCAGAATGTGCGACTTCGGTTTAGGAAACATCTAAATAGCACTTTTTCAATCGTTCCGCCATATTCGAGAAAAACCTTTTTAAATATAACGAAATTGTGTAGCACCGTATGAATCTGAAACGTACAACTTCGTACCACGAAAAATAGAAATGAATTTTTTAAATCAGGGTCCCGCGATCTAATACAATTTTTACAAACTTTACAAGGTCACAGTTCAATTCGGTGCGACGACGCGAGCGGGAAATATATTTTCAGGCCCGAAGATTCCAAGGCCTGCATGGAAACACTCAAGAAATTGAATCGAATATTTCGGTATCGGATTCCAAGAGAAATAGGTAGACGAGAGGGCGATCGACATTTCGAAATACGAAAGACACACGAGAAGAAAAACGAGAAGAGAACATACGCGAGGAATCTAAATTTCACAACTTAGGTTTAATGCACAGCGATACGATTTTGCGATTTAGAACACTTGGAAATACCTTTTCCGTCACCGAGTACGCTGAAACTTTTTTCACGTTCCTCACTGTAGAACCTCAGGCGTCGACTGAATCGCAGGACCTCGCCGGACCTCGGCGAAACAGACACGCGGATCGCCACAAAGAATCGGCATGCGCCCCACTATGCCGGTTACGTCTGACGCCAGGCGTTAACGGCCAATCCCACCGTAGCGTTCGAATTGCGACAAAAAAATCTTGATTAGTCGCGACGTCAGACGTAACCGGCATAGTGGGGCGCATGCCGATTCTTTGTGGCGATCTGCGTGTGTTTCGCCGATGTCCGGCGAGGTCCTGCGATTCAGTCGACGCTTGAGGTTCTACAGTGACGAACGTGAAAAAAGTTTCAGCGTACTCGGTGACGCAAAAGGTATTTCCAAGTTTTCTAAATCGCAAAATCGTATCGCTGTGCATTAGACCTAAGTTGTGAAATTTAGGTTCCTCGCGTGTGTTCTCTTCTCGTTTTCCTTCTCGTGTGTCTTTCGCATTTCGAAATGTCGATCGCACTCTATTCTATCTATTTCCCGTGGAATTCGTTTCCGAAATTTTCGATTCAATTTCTTGAGTGTTTCCATGCAGGCCTTCGGAATCTTCCTGCCTGAAATTATACTTCTCGCTCGCGTCGTCTCACCGAATTGTACTGTGACCTTGTATCGTTTGTAAAAATTGTTTTCGATCGCGGAACCCTGATTTAAAAAATTCATTTCTATATTTCGTGGTCTGAGGTTGTACGTTTCAGATTCACACGGTGCTATTGTTACGGGGCGGCCGAGCGGACGCGAGGCCGGGGTAATTCGGATGGAGATTACCCAAATCTTGCGCGTAACTATTATTTTAGAGTTTGTGAGGAGATTGACCCGAGCGGCTAGATCAATTCCTCTGGTGGGATCTAGGGGAGTGAGGAATAAAAGGGGGTGCGAACGAATGGCTATGTGGCTATAAGGTTTGTATTTATTCGTACGCGGGGTCTGAACTACAGTCAGCTGGAAGGGCACCTGAGGTGCCTTGACCTAGTTTCTCTTGATTAATGTACTTCCGCGTCGCGGCGGTTCGGGTGTCGCGATAGCGCGCTTTAGCGGCGGCAGGTTACTGGACGCCGGTGTGCTGACGCGGGAATTCTTACTATTNTAATGTTCTACATCTAAGTCTCTAAATGGCAGTAGGGCCATGATTCCATTTGTCGTGGGAGGTGGCGCGATCGAGGTTGGGTTCGAGATGAACTGGTTGAAGGGAATCGTCGTTGTGATGGTTGGAGGTTCCCTCGGTGGTTCTGGTGCTGTGCGATGGTGTGTCCTGGTGTGGCGGCCTCGTCGGCGGATGAGGTAGGCGCCTATAGCAAGGGCGATGTAGAATGTGGGCGTTGAGATCCCTACCGGAAGGTACTGATCTCAGGAAGAAGGTAGGTTTGTGAGCTGGCGGTGAATTTTGTTTTGCTGCTGGACCTGGATGCTGTGGGCTTCCTCCTCCAGTCGGGCCAAGGCCATTCCGTTTTTACCGTTTTCCCAGTTCTGGGTGGAATTTCCGAGGGAGAGTTCCTTGGCGAGGTTGTCAATGGCCAGTAGGTGTGGTTCTGCGATTGGCCCGGAAATGGAAGTAAGGTTCAGCCATACAGGTGGTGCGTAGCGATAAGCTGTGTTTGTGGTGATTTCCCTGGTTGCCGTCAGACGCGTGGAGGGGGTGATGGCCTTGCAACCGGGGGCCAGTTGCAGAATCCCTTGTCCTTGAATTTCTTCTACGTCCGTGATTTTGTTTCGGCAATGGACCTTTAGGGTGTCTGATTTGATTGCAGAATAAAGCCAGCTGTTTGGTGCCGGTAATTTTTGCCAAAATGTGGTTCCTGGGGTAGTGAGTTTCAGGTCGCAGGTTCTCCACTGCGTTTCTTGTGGTCGGGTTAGTAGCTGAATTTCACAATTGGTGGATGATTCGGTTTTGTGCAGAGGAATGGTGAGCTCACACAGTAGGTCGTGGCGGTGGGTGAGGCATTGTTGAATGTATTGTTCCTCTGGGGTGAAATAGTAGTTTTGGTCCTCGGAGAGCGCGAAGTAGGGTGACCTTGGTAGGACGTAAGCGGCTATTGGTTTCGCTGTGCCATAGGGTTGTTGTGTTGGAATTGGATAGACCTTGTAAAGTTGGAACGGTTCTTTGTCGAGGAGGGGGAAGGATAGGATGAGGATTAATCGATTTTCTTGATATTGGGTTTGTACTTCAGCGAGGTGGTTGAGAGAGCCTGTTAGGAGTTCTTGTGTTGATAAAGGAAATTCCAGGGGTGAGGTTTCTTGTATCAGAGAGACGGATTTTTCCAATTGTTCAGGAGATAGGATGGCGGGGTGCAGTATTCCTTGTCTTGCGAAAAGGACAACATCCGTTATCAACAAGATTCCGGAACGATATTCCTGGGCCAGACTTCCCAAGGCGGTTATCCAGCGCCAAATGGCTGTTTTATAAGCTTCTCGATGTTTTTCGAGGCTTTGCTGGTTTAGTTCCTTCGCTATCCCCTTTGCGACTTCAAGGCATCTGGTAGTTTCTTGGGTTAGATTATCTAATCGTTGATGGATATTCTGAAATTCGGATCTTACTATGTGCGTTTGATTTCCCACAATCTGCGAGAGGTGGGATTGATCCATCTCTAGCTGATTTAGTTGTTGATTATAGTATTCGGCGTCCTCGGAGCTGAGGGTGCCGAATAAAGCTTTACTAATGGTCCCAACGAAGGATAGCGGAGCTCCGCGTTTGGAGAGTCTGTTCCGGTTTGATATTTCCGGGATCGAGTTTTTAAGCAAATTTACGTACTTCTGCGTATCGCTCATGAGGGCATTGATACGCAGAGTCCATTCGCTAGCCTCACAGAAGGTGACATTGGCTTTTCGGCACTGGTCCCCGGCTTCCTTGATATGGGAAGCTATTTGCGGCCTTTTTACGAGTAAGGCGTCAATTTCAATCGCGGTGACCAGTCGCCACCGGACGTGAAATGTCCGGATTTCCCGGGTTTTCTCGAAGTAGATTCCTGGAGACTTGCTGATGGGGATTGTGTTGCATCCGGTGTCCTCGGGAAAACCCGTGGCTAGGTGACCTAGGGTGAGGAGGAGTGCCCACGTGTGCATTCTGTATCCGTGCGGTGTTCTTTGGCTGTGTTGGGAGTGTACGTGTCCGTATGGAAATACACTTATTTCTAATGCGTGACGGTAAGTATATGGATTTAAATGATGGTAGGTATTAGCTTCGCGACTTTGCTTTTCGGATGAGGTGGGGGGGTCTAGCTGAATACGCGTTTTCGCGGAGCGGTTTCGGCGCCGTTTCTTTCCGCGGTTCATTCTGCTGCTTAACTCCGTGGTTGTGAGTTCAGGCACGAAAGAACGGGAAGAAGGAAGAAAACCAGCTATGGCCGAAAGAAAAATTGGGTCGTATCCGGTTGAGGACAGTATGATTATGGTGCCCTTGGGACGCGGCCTACGTTTCCGGCCTATTAATCGGAGGGTACTGGAGATGTTAGTGAGCCTAGCTCATACGGTAGGTACCCGTGGGTGTGTATTTTTGGATGGCGGGGTGGTAACCAGGTTTTAATGTTTTCCTTTCTTTTTTTCCAGAGTGATCCGCGGTGGTCCGCTCGATACCTGACTCGGTTGTTGCTGTTCAGTCGGGCGGTGAACCGTTACCTGGATGATCGATTCCAGGAGAATCCTACCGAGGAGTTTGGCTTGGAGGGGCTTTCCGAAGGGTTCTCAGAGGAAGAGAACTGGGACCTGTGACTTCCCATGATTTATTTATTAGTATTTGTCTTCTGATTAGTATTTGTTGATTTGCCTTATAATATAGTATAATTGATTCCCAAATGTGGGTTCTTTTGTGTTTTATACTGCGCCCTCTTGCGTCCCTATCCTTATTCTCCTTTTCCATTTCAGCTAAGGGAAGGGGAGAGAGCGAGAGAAAAGGGGGAGGGAAAAAAAAGAGCGGAAATAAAATAAGCGTGAAGAGAGAGAGGGGGAGAGAGGGGGAGAGGGGGAGAGGGAGAGGGAGAGCGACCGCTATCGCGATAGAGATAGAGATAGAGAGTCTTCCTAGCCGGCGTGTAAACATTGATGCTAATCCGATTATCGGGAGCCGATATCGAGACCCTCACAACA